GGAAAATATGTGAAAACGTAATCACATAGTAGCTTCTTTAAAAAAAATACACAAAAGGAATACAAATCTAGAGGTTGTTGATTAATACCTGACTGTCTAAAAGCATATTAGGTATACAAGATTACTATCCTGTTGTCTTTCATACCCCCATGATTTGTGAATCCATGGTACACTGACCTCTCTATAGAAACCTAGTAAAAGCATACTTATTTTTCAGTTTTTGGATGCAGTTTCATGTTTTCATCTGACCTCACACAGTTGTTGTCTGTTGCAGTGTATGAGGTAGAGGTCCTCAATAGTACACAGAAGAATGTTTTTGATTATTATGAGGCCAAAATCCACAGAATCCTTAAAGTCAGTAAGTATCAAAATGTTTGGCTCCTTTCCTTCACCTGTAGGAAAACCGAGTTGATTAAACGTTAGCCAGTATGAGCTATGCAGATGCCTTCTCTTGCTACAGAAAGCAGGGTCAGATATACTTCTACACTAGGCTTGGAAGCAGAGTGATTTCTTGCAAGGCTCATTTGGTGCAGCTCCCTCACCTTTCAGTTCAGCTCAGGGGTAGGTTGCTCTGGTTCACATGGCGCGGCAATCCCAGAGCACGTGAGCCTCAGTCCTTTCAGATGAAACCAAACCAGAAGACACATTCCAGCTGCCTGCATTCCATAGCTCTCAACTGGAGCTACTCTAAGATAAACCTTCCCAAAACATTCAGAGTGTGGATATTAGGTCTTCTGCATCAACTGTTTCACTTTATAGACTGCTGTTATTGAACCACATTCTTTTTTCTACTGTCATCATATCTACTAACCTGTTTTGATACTAGATGAAGATTTGAAGTACTTGTTAATTAACTATTAAGTGCTTGCAAGTCTTGCAGAACAGGGTAAGAGTTGTCCACAATGACTTGCCTGCAGTCAGTGAAGAAAGGAAAACTTCCAGAACTTTGATTTAATAACTGTGAATAACAACAAAAAGGACTTTCTCTCTATTCCTTTAGGTGCGGTGTAAAGATTTGCACTGCTCTCAGACAGTGTCCTTTTGCAGGCCTGCCATCCCATCTGTCCCCACGTGAACCTTAGCAGCAGAATCAGTGAACACTGATATTCTCCAGAGCAATTGCTGGAGAGGCTGTCAGACAACATCTCAGACTTCAACCACTGTGGCATCATGTGGTTGTCGGTTTTGAGTTTGGCAGCCGGAGATTGCCTTTCAAAAGCAACTTCAAAGATTTCAAAATTTTCCCTGCCTGGAACAGAATAATTATCTCACTCTTTTGATCTTTGCCCAGGGGACTGGTGGCGTCACCCAGTACTTCATGGCATACAACTTGTGATCTGGGCCTGATGTCCAGTTCCTGTTGGAAAATCAGGCTCTCGTTTTGTGAGTCCATTGTGAGCAATCGGTCACACACAGGCCTTCCATATGGAGGGAAATGATAATGTACCTAGTGATCAAAACACTGCTGATGGGAGCTTACAATACCATGATGGAAAGTTTCATTAATACCTCCAGAAAAATTACAGGATCTAAAATGATTTAGAACTCTGGGTCCCAATGCATTTGTACTTAGAATTTGTAGGCAAGCACTGGAAAGATTTTGTTTCTTGGCAGCTGAGAGAAACATCCTTTGAATCTGAAGTGGAAAGGAAGAGAGGACTTATCCCGTTCCTACCTCCATCTTTTTGATCTTTTTAAAATCCCCGTTGGTTTGTGCTCTATGAGGCAGCATATGAGCAGCAGTAGGCTATGAAGACTGCTTCAGAAGGCTTGGGAAAAGCTGGGAAGAGGCATGAAGCCACGATGATGAAGAAAATGCTAGGTGTTGAATCCAAATCAGTTCATGACTGAATTAGAGTTGTTATCTTTTGCATTTTTGGTGGCTGTTTTGAATGAGGTTAGTCCCTGTTGCCATCATCAAGGGTAGGTGAGAATTACTAGGGTAAATTCTCATTCTCTGGACCTCTGGCATTATTTCAGTATCAGTCCTTGCAAATAAAGGGTTGGTTCAGAAGACAGATGGAAACACTTATTTGTGTTTGGGAGTCAGCAAGAGAGAATTTTGCAAATGTGCACTCCTTGGGTTACTTTGATTATTAATAGGATTAGTGCACGTGTTTTGGATGACGAATATTTATGCTGTTTTATGAGTCCTTTAGGCGAATAGTATGGACCATGCAAAATAGCACAGAATCCTTATTTATTTTCCTCCACATTATAGCTTTTAAAACTTGAAGTAATTGCTTCCCCTAAATTCTGCTTGGATACATTAAAATTTTGTATTTTTTTTTTTAATTGGACATTTAGAATTGGAAATTATACAATGACCTGTTAAAGTAATAGCTCAAATGCTTACGATCCCCAGGGTCTGAACTGTGTTAGGCCATTTGTGAAGCATATGAACCAAGAAACACCATGGTAATTTAAGCACAATGAACCTGAGGCATAACACCATCATTTTCTCAAGTAATTCTCATTCATCTTTCCATTGCTGGAACAAAATGAAAACTGAGTACAGCATGTAGTATAGGAACAATAGAAAGGTATTGGGTTATATAAGAAAACCTGTAACACTCTATTATTCTTTGGAAGAATGCAGATGTAAAACAGCATACAATACTGTTTGGTTGACTTTTCTCTGGCCTATAAGTACCACATGTAAAATTAATGCAAGTTTTAGCTAGGAAATAGATAAGGTTCTTACTGCTAGGCCTCACAGATCAGCACTCTATGTCAAATTTTGTGAAATCTTATTAGTGTTAAAATATTCTACTTCAGTTTTTTATTCTACTCTTAGGATTTCATTTTGAATACTAGACTTTCCATACTTGTAATATAGTACTTTAGAAATTAGAGGCTGCACAAGGTTCTGGACTCTGTGGTGTTTTACCTGTAATTTAAGGTGGTTTAATGTTGAATTTGTCACCACAGTTGTGCATGACATTTCACATTATAGTTAGAAAGAGAGTAAGAAATTAGCATATCACTGTTATTTGCTTTTTTCTTTTTTTTTTTTTTTTTTCCAAAAGGAATTTGAAAACTGTTCTAGCCAAACAACACAGTATCCTTATAACAAACGTTAGTCTGATGAATAAGCCTCTTTCCAGCTCTCATGTCATTGCAGTACCTAGGTACCCTTCTTTTCTGCCTTGGATGACCCGTTCTGTAATAGGCAGTGCAGCTCTTAAATGAATAATCCTCTGGGCCAGAATACAGGCTAGAATCTTCGAATTTATTTTAATATGGAGATCACCAAGCGCATGCCCTACATATCAGCTTCAGAGGAAATAGTATAAAGGTTAAATCAGTGAAGTTCAGGTCAGGTGCTCTAAGGAGAATTAATTTTTAATACTCCGTGCTGCATTGCTGAGCCTTAAAACATTTGAATTTAGTTTGCTAGCTATGAGCCTGAGCAATTTGAAATACAAAATAGCATGTTTTCTTTCCCCTTTGGCTTTTCTTTCAATCTCTGTGATTTAAACAAACTCCATAGAGCCTGAAAGATCGCTATAGCAAAACAGCTCCTTCAGTAACTACTGAGGAGGCCAAGACAGCCAGCTAAGACAGAAGTGGCTTATTTTTTGTCAGGTAATGTTAAGGGAAATATAACCTACCACAGCAACCCCCAAGTGAAATGATCCCTTGGCTTAGCAGTGGAGTAAATGACCACCACGGGTGGTGTCCTGTGGGCTGTGGTTCTACACTTTTCTCATAAAGTTTATGGGGTTTTCTCTTCTCATGCCACAGCTGCTGATGAAAGCATCCAAGTGGGTGCCCACCGACAGTTCCTAACACGCGCCACGTGCAAGTTAAACTTGGTCGCTGGCAAACGGTACCTGCTCATGGGGAAAGATGGGCAAACGGTTGATTGCAACAGCAAGTAAGTACAGTGGTGTCCGAGCAGCAGTGGCTGCTACCATGGACCGTGAATTCAGGGGTTATTCAAACTACTGAAATACCTCCAGAAACAAAAGGAGAGCCAAATTTCTTAGAGACTGATTCTGCTGGCATTACTAAAATGTGAAGAATAACTTAACTCTGTAGGCAAAAGGCAATCTGTGGGGAAGAGCTGAGCTCATCTATCTGTGCAGAGCCTGGTTCCCACACTTTTCAGAATCAAAGTCTGGTCCTCACTCCACTGGGTTAAAAACTCACAGCTAGAAAAGGAGAATGGGAAATGCAACATGGTTTCATCTACTGCAAAGGCCTTACACAGTTCTGTGTTTGCAAAAGAAATGGGTGGGACTGTAGCTAAAAGCAGCTCTTAAAGATTCTGTTACATCATGCATGCAAATATGTCATTCTTCTAATTTTTCAAGGGAATTTTTCTGGGGAGGAATTTAGTCTGACTATTAAGTATTCAGTGAGGAAGCCATCTTAAATTTTAAATTTCCCTGTGCATTACTGGAAAAAGGTAGTGCCTTTGAAAGCTTCTAGGAGGGAGACCATCTCAGTTGAACAGTAAACAGCACCCCCTAAAACCCTAAGAGGTCCCCTCTCTCCATCGCTATAGGACACTGATGTGAATGCTTAAGTCAGGGGTCCTCCTTCAACAGGCGCCTGCTAAAGGCCAAAGACTCCAAGCAGAGGTATAACCTCTAAAGTGTTCTCCAGCCCACTTGTAATATGCCAGAAGCTACACGCCCTCTCACCACAGAAAGTTAGGAAACATTTTGAGATACTCTCGGATCTAAATGCCCCTTCACTGTGTCCCACTGGTGTTCACTGGGGCTTTTTATCTCCCTCCAGAAAACTCAAACAGAAACTTATCCCAAACTTACCTGGTGTCACTCAAAACACAAGTACAGCCATGTTTCTCCCAGCTGAGCAATGCCTCTTCCATAACCTTTATTCAAAGCTCAGTTAACCTACTAGTGAAACTAGGCTTTAGGCAAGCTTCTTGGCTCGTGTAACTTCTGATCTGAGACGCCTCGGCGGAGGGATGCGACCCCCCGAGGTTTATCCCTTCCCGTAGCTGCAGGTCAGCAGCAGTGACTCACCTCCTTTACCTTCCCACTTGCACCCAGGATGCAGTACTTCCTCGATGCACAAGCCTGGGTAGAGAAGATTCCAGAGGACAAGGAGTGTCGCACCACCCTGCACCGGCAAGCCTGTGCTCAGCTGCAGGACTTCATGAACACGCCGGACAGCCTGTGCTTCTTCTGAACAGCTGCTCTGCTCCCCGCATCCTGCCCGCCCGACTGCGACTCGGCTCCTGCCTGAAGTTTTCTGCAAGCCTGTACATCAGAGTGGCACCTGAAATGTTGCTGAGATGCTTCTCTTGCTATCTGTTGTGCCGACTGGGGTATCTTCTTGTAGATGTCTGTATGCGGGGGGAGGCAATATAACAAAAATTGCAGTTACTCTACTAGTTATTGTTTATTGTCCCTGACACTGGTGAAGAGAGAGTAGGAATTTGACTCCTCGATCCATTATACAACAATGCAATTATCCTGCAGGGAATCAAATGAAAAAATACTGTGCTTGCAGAGCTGATTAATTGCTGCAGTCATTGTCATTGAACATTAACGAGGCCAAGAAATTTGCTTGGGTCAGAAAGAAGACTGGGCATTCACGGGCTTACCAAGTACAGTCTGTGTTACACTGCTGCTGAAAGAAACGAGATGCTAATGCTCATGTTTGAGCACTTCAGTGAATTTCTGATTTTTACTTGTAGGGGAATAAATGACCCCCACTTGTACCACAGCAGGACTCACACGTGCGCATCTGAAGTAGGAACTGGAAGTGGCCCAGCATCAGGTGTGGGCAGCTGTACTGGATGTGTTCTGTGCCTGACCCAAGGGTCCTGCACAGGGCAGTTGTGCTGGTAGCTCACTGAAGGCACAGAATTGCTTTTTAATTGCACTCTATAGCCACGGGTCTTTCAGGTTTTTTTCGTATAGTTTAATTAATTTGCATTACTTTTTAAAAAGCCCTGATGGAATCTGTGGTTGCATTTTTCTAAAGCATTTCTGTTTCTCTGGCTATGCAAACAGCTCTGTAGGGAGATGCAATATTTGTCAGGGAAAGGTAGGTTTGCTGACACAGCTCTAAAGGCTTCCACAAATGGCAAACTAAGTTAACGATGAAAAAATAACCCCAAAACTCAAAACCTCTCTTTTCTTAGGATAAGAAAATGTTTGTAGAAAATGTTTTGATAACACTGCTAAGTAGATGACTTGCAAATACAGGTTTTACTTCTTTAGCTTGCCAGCAAAATACTATTATACAGTCATGTCTGAAGCAGAGAAAACATTCAATAAAGAACAGTGTTTCCTGAACAGGTCACCATCCCCAGATGCTCTCACCACTGTCTTCATGCAAGCAGCTAGTAAGCACATAAATTTGCCACCTGGATTTTTTGTGTTACATTGCACTAAACATAAGAAGAGCCTGTATCAACATATATGATAATTAGTAGGTCGATGTTGATCTTGTTAATTTGGAGTCAACTGAGGGGCAGTTCTGGGCCTTGCGTGGAGAAGACACTACACAGCTGCAGCACCTATCAGCACAGGTACTCTGCAAGAGACTTCAGATTCACAGCAGACAGCCCAGCGCCGTGTGACAGCAATGTGAACAGCCCAGCTCTTTTTGAAGGCTGGACACTCACTCCGGTGTAATTGCAGCTGAACTCAGCCGTCAGCCACGTCCCCCACCCAGTTGCCGGGCAGTGCATGGGTGGAGAGTGGGGAAGGCTCATTTTAGGAAAACCTGCACCACTGCTTCATGGTATCTGCGTGGGAGGGTAAGAAACCTCCTGAAAGACAAACACTTAGAGTATCGTAGGACAAGTTGTTTTCCTTGAGGTTTGCCCCAGCCTTCAGATTTAGGAAATGAGACTGTAATGCACGGGCATATATTCTCTTCCTTTTATTACTGAGCTTGTAGAAATGTCAGTGATATGGCAAATCCCAGCTGAGGTCAGTAAGGAAGTACTCATTTTTTCTCGTATAAAATAAAGACTAGGCTGTTCCACTGACATACCAATCACCCAGTAATTCTGCTAATAGTTATGAAAGAATACCTCTAATGTTAGGGGTCAAATCCTTCTTTCCACTCCACAGGACTTCAGTTAAATACCAGCATCTGACCCTTTTGCTGTGTGGAGTACATCAAGAGCTCAGAGGTTCTTGTTTAGCAGACAATTCACCAAATAATTGCTATGCTCAAGACTCTCTAAAATGTGGTGAAAGCATCGTTAAAATTTCATATTAGGTCTAACATGCATTTTACATATTTTATTGCCTTCTACGTATTTACTTCCATTTCACCTGGAGATTAGTCTAAGTTGAAACTGCTTAGTGCCTGGACTTTGCAAATTCAGTCTCCTAGTGTGGGAGCTGTGTGGGAGTTATTAAACTATTTTTACTCTTATTTTTGGTACAGAGGACCCAAGCATGCTTCTACTTTAATTCTGATAATCTCGAACCCCTTGTTTCCTGGGAAACCCTTTAAACCTCTGCCCAAGGAGCTAGTATAGAACAGTCTCTATCCCCCTCTATTTTTCTGCCCCAAACTCTCAAGCATATTTATAGGGAGAGGGAAGACAATGGTGGAATTATTCTCTGCTGCCAAGGTTGTTAACGTTTGCAGGTAGCACAGCTGAAGAGCTGCTGGAGACTCAGACAATACCATGGAGGCCTGCTTGAGGGCTTTAGAAGCATTCATTTCTCCCTCTGCTGCCACAACCTGCAAAGAGAAATGGAAATGTCACTGTGACGCTGCCCATAGTGGGGAAAATCCACCTTTTCAATTAGGAAAAAAAACCAGACACTTGGATGCCTGACACAAGGATATGGGAGCTTGGGGGGGAAGACATTCCTATGGGTCTCACCTTGGCTCTTGCCTCTTGAGCAGCCTCTGCTTCAGCTGCCATTGCCCTCTGCATGGCCACGGGGATCCTGACATCTTTGATCTCCACTCGGGCCACTGTGATTCCCCACTGCTCCGTGGCACTGTCAAGGATAGCCTTAGGGACAAACACACAACCCAACACAAAGATCACAGTGATGGCAGAGAGAAAAACATGGGATGGACCCTGCCACTTGGACAGACAGCGTGCAACCTGCATGACAGAAAAGTAGAGCCCTCCAGGGGCAGGAACATCCACCGCCGTGTGTGCACGGTGGGTACCGCACCCTTATGAATCTCTTGCTGCTCAACATCAGCGTCTCCTCTGTGGCTTCTCTACGGCGTCCGAAATTATGAACCCCATCCTTCCTTTCAGTGGGCACTTACGAAACTTCTCCCTTCCACAAAGTAATACTACAGCTACTTCCTAAAGCAGCACAACGCTGTAAAAGCATGTAAAAGCACAGTAGGGATGCAAGGCACAGCCCAGCCCTGCAGCACGGGCATGCTCCTCTGTGCTCAGGCTCCCCAGTGCTACTGCAATCCACGTCACCACCACGAGCCCGGCTCTGCCCGCAGCCGCTCTTCTGGCTGGGGAAGGGTACAATCTCCCTTTCATTTGGCTATGCCTTGTCTCTGACTGAAAAGAGTAAATCAGGTGTTGATTTCTTCTCTGCTCTCTCCTTGGATGCCAAAAACAACCAACAAAACAGATGGCATTTTAAAGCATAAAACAACTCGGTTCTGTACTCTTAGTTGTTATGACAGGAGATACAAGCCTTGCCTGGATTAAACCTCAATCAAGGGTCTGCTCAAGATAAAGCTTCCCACGAGCAGCTGTCTTCTTTCTCATCACTTGCAGCAGCCTCTGTGCAAAGATAAAACTGATTTATTCAAGTCATTGGATAATTTCAGTATCTTCATTGCTTTTTGATAGGAAATAACTCTTCTAAAAGAATCTGGGGAAATACCTTTGAAATAACTCTTTCTGACTCTAAGCAATGAGATATATAATTGAAAAAAACATAATGGAAAATTTTATTATCATTGTTTAAAAAAGGAAGAGAGATTATTTCTAATTTGCTACTCCCCAGAATACATCTCCTTGCTTGTCAGTGAATTTTGAGAGCCGGATTTACCTGGATACTGTGTGCAGTCTCCTCACGACCTGCAAGGAGCTGAGCCAAGCTCTGTGTACCCAGAACATTTCTCAGGGTTGTCTGTGCCAAGAGAAGGGTAGCTGAGTGGACATCAGTGATGTTAGCAACGGCGCTGATGGCACTGTGGATCCTGTAGTACACCACCCCATCAACCCGGGTAGTAACGGCATCTTTTGTGAGAATCTGCATTCAGGAAACGTACAGAACTAGAGAAGGATCCAATAACACTTCCAAGGAAGTGGAATAATTTTTTTATCCCCTTAGTGAGGAAAAGGCCCTGATAATTCAAGGAAACTAAGAATTTATTTTGGATTCTTTGTCATTCCCATGAGAAATTACTTCAAGGAAGCTATCCAGCATCACCAAAGTTTAAACTGGGGCAAAATGTTGTACATAGCCTTTAAACAACTGTTTCAATAATAAGTAAATCTCATAACTAGAATTAATTTATTCTGCAATAATAAACTATGTTTATCCTTTTTCTTTCTTGTAGAAAGGGCCATTAATGATTTCATACATTGCATGCAGTTTGGAAGATCTGTGCCACTTCCCCTAAGCAGTGCATTTGTAAGAAACACCAGCAAATTAAAACAAAAACTAAAAGCAAAGTGCAAGAAATTGTGAGAAGAAACTCTAAAAAATATTGATGTATTCATAGAGGAGTTGTGTCATCTTTTGCCAGACAAGTGCCATGTGCCTCAACAGGCAGTTGGCCTCCGCAGAGCACTGACGATGCTCCGCTATCTCTTCTCTCCTCAGCACCTTTTTCCTGCAAGTAAATGCTTCACAGAAGCCCTTCCAACTGCTGTAGAAGCCTTGCCAAAAGTTGCTAAGCCTTGTACAGCACAAGTACTGCAACCATATTCCTTGCAGCCTTCCGTCTCGGAATGCTGGAATTTTTCATTCCACCACACGCGCGCCTGCAACCTGCAAACTGAGAAAAGGCTCCTTGTGATTACGGGAAGATAATGGTTCAAGAGACAGCTCCTGGGGAACACAATGAGCAATCCCGGGCCCACCTCGTCCCCCTTTGTTCTTGGTGTAAGGAAGGGGACAGAGTGCCAACTCCAGGAGCAGAAGCATTGTATTGCAGCGGGGCTGGGGCCACAGGGAGCCAAAACTTTATCAAGAGGACAGGAATTTCTCAGCAACTGATTCTTCAGATTAAATTCTTCAGTCAATGTTTATCAACAGAATGCCTAAAGATACATTCCTCCCTTGAATCTGAGTTTTGTGGATGATTGTCTGCTAATTGCTATTAATTTAATGAGATTTGCTATGGTGTGTAATATGCCTTTTCAGAAACATGTAGAGAGTGCATACCTTCAAGCAGTGACTACAACATCACTGAAGGTTTTTTTTTGAATGGCCAGTTGCATGTTAGATCCAATTTTATTAGGATATTCATTTCTGGATATCTTAAACTAGTCTATTGCTTCATTTCCATGTATGGAATAACAATGCAATCTAGAATTTTTTAGCCTCTCCTGACTCCCATTTTGAGTTCTACCCCACCCCTTATTGTTTATCTCACAGTTCTGAACATCAACAAAAGGAGTTTGCTCGGCCTGCAGTGCTGCATGTGCAGGGCTTCACAAGCAGAAATTGTTTTGTAAACTCCTTGAAAGTCAGATACAGCAAATGAGCTGAAGTCTATATGGTAGCTCACAGCTGCAAGACTATAAAACATCTATGTTATTTTTGATCATGCCATGAATCAACTCTATCTTTTATTTATATCTGAGATGGCTGCTAGAGAATAGTTACCTCTTGTGGAGGAATGTTACAGGTAACCGTTCTAAGATCAACCTTGATAAACGTATCTGTACATGGGAGTATGAGGATCAAACCTGAAAAATAAAAATAATTAGGTGAAACTCTTCTGAAAGCTAAGTCTAGAACCAGGTATTCTGGATATACAAAGCAAACAGATGGAAACATCAACAGGGTGGGGAATGATCCCATGTTATTGCTATAGCTGTCCCTTCTGCTACAGGAGGTGACAGCAGTGGGATTTTGCATTTTCAAATGACAGAGGGAAATGTAAATATATGCAAGTAATGTGAATTTATTAGAGCTTAATGACCTAGGGCTCTGGACTGGGAATGGGCAGATTGCAGTTCTGGTCTCAAATCTGCCATGAGACTTTTGGCAAAAATTCCTTCCATGCCTTTGTTTAGTTTCCCCTCCTTAGATCATAAGCAATTTATGGTACAGTATGCGTGTCCCCAAGAAAGGCATGTCCCAGGCCCTGATTCCTGCACCACCTGTAGGGTCCCACATGAGAAATGCTGTCCCAAGGTCTGACCCATCCTGTGAAGGAGTCCCCACTCTCCCTTCACTGGAGAGGGAGACTTGGCATAATTATTCTTCTAATCTCAGCACCTTGCTTAGGTGCCCAGAGCCATGCAGAAGAACTCTGCACCTGCCCTAGCTGTCTTTGGACCACATGGCTGTTATTCAAGAGGAAGAACAGTACATGGAAAGGACTTTTTCCTCTTATTTCAAATTCCAATTTGCCCAGTTCCATTGCACAGAGGTGGTAACTGCACCGATGTCAATACCTCACGTTGTTGGGTTTGGTTTGCATTTGTGATTTGTAACCTGACCCTAGGTGACCGTAACAAACTCTGTATAGATGCAGGGTGTCCCTGCCCTGACCCATTTACCATTTTCAGAGCAGAAGACAGCTGAAGAGCTGGCAGCAACAAGCAGCATTGGAAGTGAGGTACCGGGAGAGTGCCCACAGTTGCTCAAAAAAGTCTGTGGCAGACCTGAAGGCTACATTTAAACCTCCCTGGTACCCCACTGGTGTCTGCAGCATGAGCTGAACCTTCGCTTGTCCAACCTACTCAACAGCAAAACTATACGTGCTATCAAGGTCCTCAACCTTCTGTGTTGTGCTGTGACAGGGGGGTCACTTTTTCTTCTCTTCAGAAAAACAGACAGCCTGCAGGTAAAAGAACTGCAGCAGAGAGGACTATCTCATCCTCTGCTGTGATATGAAGAAGGATTTCATGGACCTCTGCAATTCTCTGTGTGGTTAGAGTGCATCATAATAAAATAAAACCAGTGCATCTTAATGGAATAAAACTGCATGCATTCACCTGGTCCCTTTGCTTTCTTAGACAGTATACGTCCCAGACGAAGTACAACAGCACGTTCATATTCTCTGATAACCTAGGAAAATATTTCACATTTAGAATTTTACAACTAATTGTATTCCTGCTCTCTGGTCTGATTTTTTTTTTAATCGTTGGCATCCATATTAAATGTGAAAAAAGTACAAATAATATAGGTACCAGCAAAGCTGCAAGTCACTAGGCATTTAATGCCGTCTCCTCACCTCATTCTTTGCTGGAAAAACTCAGATCCTGGCCCTGCAAACAGGTTACAAAACAGATCAAATATGAAAGAACTGCCACTGATCTAGTAAGGCTACTCACAACTCTCTCAACACAAGAGCTACACTCGGAAGAGCTGTGGTAAAATATGTCTTACCTCAGCTAATCTAGCCAACTACTTCGGTTAGTGTATCATCAGGACTACCCAAGGCCTGGTGTTCAGGGTAATCATCTTGTTAACTCACCCCTAAATATTACTTTAAATTAATCATATGATGCCCATGTCTTGAAGGGGCATCTTGTGGGTTTAGGTTATATAGTCACTCAATGCAGGGACCCATGTTTCCATGTACTCATGTTAATCACTATTGCTGGCAGTATCAAATATGAGTTCTTCAGAAAAGTTTGTAGATTTATTCTCCCCGTGTTGTAAAACAGGAAAGTTTAACTGGTGATGGAAGTTGAGACTGGAAGAAACTAAATGAGTAAGTTGAGGAGATACAGAAAGTGAAGGAACACAAATCTCAGTCCCAGACCACATCTTCGCTACAAGCCCTTATGATTTCCTAAAAGCAAACGTGAAGTTTCTTGTCTTAATAAAATCAATACATCAATAAACATAAGTAACAGTGGTAATAATAGAGTCTCCTTTATGTGCCTCAAACCCCACCGGCTTACCTTGATACATGCCCAGATGGAAATAGGAAAGGTAATAAGCACCAGGAGGAACGAAAGGGAAACAAGGATCCAGCCACAGACACCAATTCCTTCCCGCCTGTCAGCTATAAAAGAAAATAAGGAAGAAAAGTAATGAATGCAAATTTTGAAAAGAGATATCTGAGGCATGCAGATCTAGCCCAGTGCAATCATGATGGACTGCAAAGTCCACAGAGACTCATTCTCTCATTCTCCCTCCCATTGCTCACTGAAAGCTATAAAACACCTAATCAAACATCCAACCTTATGGCTCTTCTTCCCAAAAGGCTGAAAGGTTCAAAAAGTACATTTCGCAACAGGAGAGAAAGTGATAAAATGAAAGGCATGGCCAAAGCTGGGGGCTGTGAAGGAGAAATAAATCATTGGGTGGAGCATCCATGGATATGAATCTCTGTCAGCATGCCATGGCTGGGGCGAAAGATTTAGTTTGTGTGAAACAGGCAACAAGGAAAATGAGGAGAATTCCTGCTGTCTTTAGATGAACATTTTGTGGAATACTGATGGACCAGTTCATCTACTGGGGACAACAAGTTTCAAACCCACTGCTTGTCAGAATGCCTATCTATTCTGAGCAGCTCTCTCAATGCATTCAGCTCATCTCATCTCATCCCAAAATTTCATTATAATGAAATCAAAATATATCAAAATGATTTAATTATTTTAATGCCTGAAGGGAAGGCAGTGGTGAGTTGTTGTTCAAGTACTAAAAGTTTGGGAGGCTCTTTGTAAGGGAAGTGTGATCAAGGAGCTTTTGCTCTTTGAAGAGCAGTTGGAGCTGCTGAGGTCCTGACAGAAGCAGCATGGAAGAGGAAAAGATGTGAAACAGGCCGGTCCTGCCACCAGGACAGGGTGCTGCAAGGTCAACTTAATTTTGCTAAATACAGAAAAGCCTTGGATCAGGTGAGTCACCAGACAAGCAGAAGCATCAGGAATGCAGGCTGTCCTAGCCCCATGGGCTGCCCAGCTGCCAGGTTTGGGCAAGAAGAGGATTTTTGCAGGCATGAGCTTTAGCAGGTGGGAAGTTGAAGAACTCAGCCTGTATTTCCCAATGCAAGGGAAAGAGGCAGGAGAGAGGGACAAAGGCTCAGAGACCTCCTCAGAGAACCTCCTCCATGCTGATGGAAAGATGCAACATGTTTTGGATATCTTACTTCAAAGGTATAAGGTAGCACTGGGAATTTCTGACATCGAATAAAAATCACATGCATCTAGAAACTGATAAATAGAAAAGAAAACAATTAATTTTATACTTTGTGAGAAAAAACTTGTCACCAGTGAAACAGCGTGAGGCTACCTGATCTGTAAGGCATAAGCTAAAAGACCAGCAGAGCAGGACTGACAGGTTTGTCAGAAAACCCCAGTAACCCCAGAGGAGGAGACACAACCAGCCCTCCTGCAGCTCCTTCTCTCGGGTACCTCTGCGCATCGCTAGACCGCGCCTGCTGGCAAGATTAGCTGCAAACCCAGGTGTAACAACCAAGCCCTTTGCTGCTTGCAGGGTTGCCCGTCCTGATTCTGAGGTCCCTGCTGCAGATTTAGTCACTCACGCAAAAGGACGTTTGTGTCTGAGAGGGCCAAGTTTCGGGCCACCCTGAGAGCTAGGCACAGAATTGCTGCACCGGGAGCCCAGCCCTTCTCCTGACCCTTTCCAACAAACAGTAATTTGAAATCGCTGGTTGCTTCACGAGGTATCGCCAGCCATTCTGCAATCAGTGGTAGGAATGATTTGAGGAGCTCCCCTGAGTAAATTACCACGCAAAACTTAAGGCCATGTGTATGAAGACAGGAGGTTTAAGATTTAACGTGAAAATCTTTAACGCTTTCACTGCTGCTTGTTTGCCACACAGTGTACTTCACATTACACTAGTGGTGTGTCAAGCTACAACAGGTATACGAAGTACCAGCAGTCAAACATCTTTTATCACTAGAAAGATATCAAGGAAACTCATTGAATGGGCATCATTCATAATTCTTAATCCAAAACTTGGGGAAGTTAACCATGAAGGGATATTTTGTTGAGAAGAACTCAACATTTTGCACTGTCTCTCTTTATTTCACCTAAATGATTAGCTTACAGGAAACTGTCTGAAGATCTTTTCCTCCAGCACCAAACTTGGCTATGAAGAACCTCCTCAAAATCAATTTTGGACTGTAGCATCATCTGCCATCATCTACCTGAGACCACTGTGAAGATACACAATATGAATGACACAACCCACAGACACGGGGGAATGGCTGGGAACAAATGTCCTCACTCTGCAGACTGATATTCAAGCATCCGAGAAGAGGTAGAGGGTCAAGATATCACTTATCGCCACTATGGGTAAAAAGAACACATCCAAAACTTGACAAAGTACAACCGAACCCTTCTTCCCGAGAACTGTCCTAGAGATCCTGATGGCAGCTAAAAACAGATTCCAATGAGAAAAGCAGGATATGAAAGTATGCCTTCTTAGTAGTCAATCCAGATCTAGCTCCCCCCAAAACACTACAGATGTTCTCTGATTACCCCAAAGCTTCAAACCACTTAACCACAAGACAAATGGAAGATTCCAGAAAAACACAGTAGTGAAGAGTATCAGTCACTATGCAACATACCAGCGATTTGGTTTTACCGTGCCTGTATATGGATTACAATAGTCGTAACCACCAAAAAACATTACTTGGGCCTACAGACCAGAGAAAACCAAGAGCAGCAATGCACTGCAAAATGTGAGAGCTCATTGATGAGCTGTTGTGAAAAAGCTCCAGGACACTCATAAGATTCATCTTGTTTTTTCTTGATGCACTCATCATGGTATATCATGAACATTCTTGATACACAAAATCATGATGTGGGTGTCAAACTTGAAAAGCAAATGAAAAGCTCACATCCAAGTTGTCTTGTGAAGAATATAAAGAGCTGTAGGAAAAAATCTCCTAAGTCTTCAGCGACAAAGAGATGGAGTAGACGCAGTCTCTTGTAAGCACTATCTACCCTCCTGTTTCTAAAAGCACCCAAGTCAGTCCTGAAGAGACTCATCCTTGTCCGACTCCACTATCCATATTCATACCCAGACACGATGGTGAAAACAGCACACATTGCCCGTTAACAACTTTGTTTAGCATCAGTTCCCTTGCTTGAATAGAGCACCAGGTGTTCATCACACAAGTCCAAACAGATCCAGTGTCCTTCTGGGGCTGAAAAATTATTCTACCTTCCTTTACTTTTTCCTTTCCACCCCATCCGTACATAAAAAAGTGTATCAATAGCTCAATCAGCCATTTTAGTCCCTGGGGCCATTTTGCCACAAGGCAGATGCTGACACATGCTGGCAGGGAAGTACGAGGAAATTTGCCCTGTCACTCACATTGGCAGAATCTTAATTTTCATCTCCAGCCTGTGTAGGAGACATGATGAATGGGCTATTTTTTTCAGTTGGTTAGTTTTACTTCTTTTTATTATTATTGAGAAAAACACACACACGCGCACAGACACATAAAACAAGGCTCACCAATTAGATGCTCCGTGTTGTTTTTCTTGGGCATCTCCCTCTGGGGATCCATCCCATTTGAGGAATCCTCTTATCCCCTTCACAGAAAAGACAGCAGCACACCTTGAAACTGCACAGCACTCGTACAAAACGCTAAAGAGAGAAGCAGGGTGAGAGAAGAAATCCCCACCTGCACGTGAGCCTTCCGAGAGTTAGTTACCCCGGTGAGGAGGGGATGTTTACAAAAACAAAGTCCTGCGAATCAGTCGTCTCCGACGTAACTCCATGGTCTTCTGTGGCCGTCTTCTGGCTGTGGATGCACTTGGCCCAGCGAGTTTTACAACCTACAAAATCCAAGCTGGAAATTATTTCCACGTCACCAGAGAGAAAAACCAAGAACAAGACAAGGCAGAAAGATACAGAGAAAACAAGTGCTGTGAGGAGCGGCTGAGGGAACCGGGGTTGTTCAGCCTGGAGAAGAGGAGGCTGAGGGGAGGCCTTACCGCTCCCTACAACTACCCGAGAGGAGGCCGCAGCAGGGCGGGGGGCAGCCCCTTCTCCCAAGCAGCAAGGGTTACCCCGAGAAGAAATGGCTTCAAATTAAATTAGGTATTAGGAAAAACGTCTTCACCGAAAGGGTTGTCAAGCACTGGAACAGGCTGCCCAGGGAAGCGCTGGAGTCACCATCCCTGGTGGCATTCAAAGGACATACGGATGTGGCACTTGGGGGCAGGGTTTAGTGGTGGACTTGGCAGTGTTAGGTTAATGGCTGGACTCCATGACATTAAGGTCTTTTCTAACCTGGATGATGCTGATTCTATAAAGTCAGAGGTTGCAGGCTGAGGACTGCCCCTCTGATGTACACCTCGTAATATTCTGGGGTTCAGCCACTGCTCAGATCTGAAACACTGGCAACATAAATAACCCTCCAGTTGAGGTCCTCCTGCTGTGTAGAACAGCTCATCACACACATCTTGATAGTGTTCGTCACCATAGGTTGAGCCCTGTTGTGCTAGATAACCTAAAACCCACAGCTGATGCATTCCAGCTCCAGTCTTAAAATTCCACCCTTGTATTTTTCACAAAACACTTTTTGACAATCAAACGAAGCATAGCATTTTAGACTAAGCCATTTCTGACAGCTGCAGCAGCAGAGAGCAGCCTTCTCAAAGGACACAAATCTATTGCTTGTAATTTGAAAAAAAAAATAAAAAAAAAATGGTGGCTTTTCATATGTAATTTATGAGTTTGACATATAGCTGCATTAATTATATGGCTGTTTTCTGTGGGCATCCATCATCTAGAGTATCTTTGAAGGTCTGGTTCCAGTTTCATTTCACTTAAGTCTTCATTCCTGCCAGTAATGATATTGGCCCCAAATGGGTCATTCAAAGCTGACTGCTCTCCAGAGAATCCTTTCTCAGCTTCAGAGAGAGGAAACTACACCACTGAATGGGTGTTTTAAATCACACTGAAAACCATAAGCACAAACAGCTTGCAAAACTGGGATTGACGTGATACCCTACCAAATACATGGCAATATCCATCTGAAGTAATTTGTAGCATCTTCCTCATTATTTGGCTTCTCAGGCTGAGCTGTAAGATCAAACCTGTTCAGGACAGGTGCCTACTAACAGGGCAAAATGGGTGAACAGTCAGAAGAAAAAAAAAAAAAAATTATTTCAGAAGCAAAAACATTATATGCAAAACTACCCCGACATATTTTTTATTTTAGAGCAACTGAGTTTTACTGAAAATAACTTTATTCCAAGCCAGTTGAACACCCTAATCTACATAGCTGCTTATACCATCAGATAGATGAACAAAACATAAGAAAACCAAACAGAAATAATTGCTCCCTGCTGTTTATTGGTAATTCCCTGAGGTGCCTGTAAAAATATCCCTTGAAAGGTGACTAAAGCAGATGGTGTTTTTCTTTTATGTTCAGGAACATCACTGTATTAGTTTCTCTGTGTTAACTTCTGCTGCACTTTTATTCCTGGTTTCAAAAATTTGAAGCCAAAGGCAGGGCAATCTTCATTCTTTCTCCCTGGGGCTATAGCAGGGCACGTGGATAACTCATGTCCCAAAGTGCTATAAAACACTCAGAGAAGAAAATACATGAGCACATGGCAAAGCAGTTTACAAGCTGGAAGTTCAGGGGTGCTGAACCACCTGGCGCAGCCCTGTGTCAGAGCAGTACCACAGCAAAAACCAATCTGAGTCCAAAGTCCATTTAGCAGGACTTGCTGCCTTAGCAGCAACATTAGATGGATGTTGTTCGGGTCAGCGGCAGTTCAGCTGTTTCTGCAGTGCGCTGATGGAGCCAAAGCCTCCAACTTCTCTTCCAGAAGCAGCACAAAGGCTCGGGTCAGGCGTGATGATTAGGTGCTTACCTGCAAGCAGGCCATTCTCCAAGTGCTGTGTTCCAACTGCTACATTTGCAAATGGCACCAGTCCTTTACAATTTCCCTAAAGTGTCCAGTTGCTCCCAGTTATCTCACCACACAGTTGCAGAGACTTAATCCTACAGACCAAGCACCCACTTCAAAGTCTGTTAAAACCAGAACAGGAATTCTTACACACCCTCATTTCTAAACAGTGTCAATCCCAAAGGTATCAAAAAAGTCATCAGGCAGTCCTCACAGGAGAGTTGCATATAACAAAGTTGCAGGTTTCAGTCTGTCTTTTTCTGACCTTTTTAGGCCCATACCTTCCTTCCCATGCACTGGGCTCGGCCACTCCCTAAAGTGGCCTTCCCTGGCCACTGAATTCTGCCTAGACACTAGCCTATTTGCTTCAGGATCGTCATTTCTTTCCCTCAAATCAAAATTTAGAAGGGACAGGACATAGAGAAGATTAACAATACCATCCTACTGCTTGTAGGAACATCCCCATATTGCTCCTTCTCCTTGTGAAAATGGCATCAGCTTTCAATAGCTGAAAATGGGAAGATGACAGGAGGCACCCCTTTGGCTACACTTCGCCAGAGCTTCAGTAAATATGAGAGACAGTCAATCAAAGGGATTGCTCTCATCTCAACCCAGAAACCAAGGCAATTTGCAAGAAAGTAAGAACATTAATACCACGGCAAGTTTCCTTCCAGGCCCAGCCAAACTCCCAACACTCACTTGCAAATCAGAGGAAGAGCAGGACAGAAAAATCACCGTTTCTCTCATTTTCACTACAGCTGCAATTAAAGAACTTGAAAAAAATATCAAAACTTGAATTTGCAAACACAGTCCCACTGTATTCTTAGTTGTTCCAAATAAACATTTTATTTCAAAGAACATTTCACTACACCTTATCTCCGCAGTCTGTCAGCATAGCTGAAATATAGCATTAATAGCCAACTTGAACAATGTAAAAAATCATAGTTAGTCCAGAATTAAAGTCATACAGCAACAGCCCTTTCCCAGCCTGGGCTCAGTGTAAGATCCAGCACGGTTTGCCTCAGGAGCAGAGTCTTCCTTGGCTTTTTAAAAATGGTGCTCAAGCAAGCATGAAAGAGCTCAGGACAAAACACCCCCTTCAGAAATTCCAAGGCTGGGTCACAGGAGTTTGCTGCAATGCAGAACACAGACTTTACTCCTGAAGAGAAAAAAAAAATTAATAAAAAAACAATTTTACATCAGGAGAAATACTTAAGAAACTGAAACTTACCTTAATCCTAACCACTGTAAAGCTGAACTTACAAAATCCTGCTCAGTATGATTCAGCAGGAACCAGAGAGCCCATCCTAGACCTCTGCGCAACACTACACCAGCTGTGCATGAAATACTCTTTTCCGCGTAAAGTAACTAGACACCACTTAGCAAGTACACTGTTTCAGAATAGCATTCACTACTTCTCACCTGTTTTCGTTTGGAGAAGCAGGGATTCAGAGTCTCTTAGGTGTCTCTGAGTTGTCTAATGCTCAAACAGAAGAAACCAACCACGCGCACCCCATGACCATTCAGTAGACGTTTTCAGAAACAGACGTACAAACTGCTTACTCTTTGATAAAGCACTGCATAACAGCTGATGTCTGGTACTTGTTTTTGACTACAAGGTCATGTGGATTAGTTTAAACTTGGATTGCTTGATGGGGAAACTAGGACTCAAATCAGAGACAGAACTCGGCACCTCAGTACAGTTACAAAATGCTTACAGACTTTGAACTACTTTACATTCACACGTATGGGACAAAAGCCACTGTGCTCTTGAGAAGATACCTATATTTTTATTTTCTCCTTCTCCGGCTGATCTACAAATCTACAAGCAACAAGTCATAAAAAGAATGAGAAGGAAAGTATAATAAAAGATGGTAGAGATTTTTTTCCACATATTTCTTGAGTCAAGATATAAGGCACTGATTTTAAAAGCAGTTCAGAGTGGAGAATCATTAGTATTCAACAGGTTTCACAAAATAAAAAAATGTAAAAGTACAATATGTTTTTATCTTTAGATTTAACGTAGTATGTAAATTTGATTATTAAAACACAAGACTACCCAATTACTGATAAAGTATCAAGGACACTATTTAAATTCATCTAAACACTTAATATGATACTTCTATTGCCACTCTCAGGAAACCTATTTTGTAATCTAGTATATAGTTCTGCATCATAAAGAAACAGCATAAGCAAGATCAAACATTATGAAGTGTCTTAGTAAAAACAAGTTTATTCATCTGTATTTTAGGCAAATATGTAAATAGTCAGCAAAGCCTTTTTGCCATGACTGTAAACTTTTTATTTAAAAAAATTGTGTTAAAAACCAATACAGGAATTTCCATTAATGTTCTAAAAAAGTTTGTTCACATCTTGAAAGAAAATACATTAGCAACATCTCCCAGCAGAATTCATCTTTAAAAAAGTAAAACTCTAGGTGCAGAGCTTTTCTACAGTACAGTATCCTCTACGTTTTAATTTAATCACAGGATTGAATATCATTCATCTCTATTGTCTCTAGAACATAATCAAGACTTTATCTTAAATAGATGATATTCAATGATGTGTTACACATTGCCACAGGTACTAACGTTATTAGAAGAGTGCACAACTGAATTTCACTAACAAAGCAAGACCTTTCTATATGCTGCATCATAACCCTTCCTAACCAATACAGTTAATTTACCTATATGCCTTTAAAATCATGTACATTTTCCAAGGAAAAATACTAAGAAATCCATGGTCCAAATTCTGCTCCCACTTATATTCACAAGATAACATAAGCACCATCAAATTGTGGTTTACAGCTGAAAAGCATACAGAGAACCAGTAAGTTTATGAGTATAAGGGAGAGAAGAACTTGACCCATGTCTGTAAACATTCACAAAAGTCTGCAGTCAAAAGTGCCGGATAGGCAGACTATCCGCAGTACAATTATTTTATTCACAGAGAGGTGTGGGGGCAGGGGGAAAGTTATGGAACATTACTTTAGAGTCAAATTAAAATGCTTTTATGTACTTTGGAAAGACATATCCTCAGCTAGCTAAACCATGCTGCAGTAAAACGTAATCCACTTCTACCCAAATACAGTACAGCATCATTTCCTAGCTCTCCTGTTCAGATTCAGACAAAGGAGTACTCAATTCATCAGCAAGCCCATGACAGTATTTCAAAGCGTAAGAAACTCCCCACACCCCTCTGGATCTAGCCTCCCTTTAACATACTGCTGATGCTAACAGGAGACCCTCACACATACGAAGAAAAGATCTGAAGAACCATACACTGACCTTGATCTACGCACTCACAAGAAGTGTGCGTCTAGACGAAAGATCGTCTACAGCTTTATCTAGTTTCCATCGAGATCTCATTCTATATTAACCACATATACCATACAAAACATAACAGAAGGATTGGTGCTTATACACACTACTAAGTATACTTGTTCTCCTC